TTCAAAATTTCGACCCGAAAAAAAAAACGACAGTGTTACCCCTTTCGTTTTTTTTCATTTTCGGGGCGAAAAATTAAGTTTCTCCAATCTTCTCAAAACTCTGGATTATGATAGAGGGCTGTGAGACTTTGACCTGAGTGCAAAAATGGAGGCTCTAGACCCTTCCAGAGCTGAGATATCAAAATTCAAAATTTCGACCCGAAAAAAAAACGACAGTGTTACCCCTTACGTTTTTTTTTTCATTTTCGGGCGAAAAAATTAAGTTTCTCCAATCTTCTCAAAACTCTGGATTATGATAGAGGGCTGTGAGACTTTGACCTGAGTGCAAAAATGGAGGCTCTAGACCCTTCTAGAGCTGAGATATCGAAACTCAAAATTTCGACCCGAAAAAAAAAACGACAGTGTTACCCCTTTCATTTTTTTTTTCATTTTCGGGCGAAAAATTAAGTTTTTCCAATCTTCTCAAAACTCTGGATTCTGATAGAGGGCCATGAGACTTTCACCTGAGTGCAAAAATGGAGGCTCTAGACCCTTCCAGAGCTGAGATATCAAAATTCAAAATTTCGACCCGAAAAAAAAACGACAGTGTTACCCCTTTCGTTTTTTTCATTTTTGGGCGAAAAATTAAGTTTCTCCAATCTTCTCAAAACTCTGGATTATGATAGAGGGCTGTGAGACTTTGACCTGAGTGCAAAAATGGAGGCTCTAGACCCTTCCAGAGCTGAGATATCGAAACTCAAAATTTCGACCCGAAAAAAAAACGACAGTGTTACCCCTTTCGTTTTTTTTTCATTTTCGGGCGAAAAATTAAGTTTCTCCAATCTTCTCAAAACTCTGGATTCTGATAGAGGGCCATGAGACTTTGACCTGAGTGCAAAAATGGAGGCTCTAGACCCTTCCAGAGCTGAGATATCAAAATTCAAAATTTCGACCCGAAAAAAAAAAACGACAGTGTTACCCCTTTACGTTTTTTTTCATTTTCGGGCGAAAAATTAAGTTTCTCCAATCTTCTCAAAACTCTGGATTATGATAGAGGGCTTTGAGACTTTGACCTGAGTGCAAAAATGGAGGCTCTAGACCCTTCCAGAGCTGAGATATCAAAATTCAAAATTTCGACCCGAAAAAAAAACGACAGTGTTACCCCTTTCGTTTTTTTTTCTTTTTCGGGCGAAAAATTAAGTTTCTCCAATCTTCTCAAAACTCTGGATTATGATAGAGGGCTGTGAGACTTTGACCTGAGTGCAAAAATGGAGGCTCTAGACCCTTCTAGAGCTGAGATATCGAAACTCAAAATTTCGACCCGAAAAAAAAACGACAGTGTTACCCCTTTCATTTTTTTTTTCATTTTCGGGCGAAAAATTAAGTTTTTCCAATCTTCTCAAAACTCTGGATTCTTATAGAGGGCCATGAGAATTTCACCTGAGTGCAAAAATGGAGGCTCTAGACCCTTCCAGAGCTGAGATATCAAAATTCAAAATTTCGACCAGAACAAAAAAAAACGACAGTGTTACCCCTTACGTTTTTTTTTCATTTTCGGGCGAAAAATTACGTTTCTCCAATCTTCTCAAAACTCTGGATTATGATAGAGGGCTTGAGACTTTGACCTGAGTGCAAAAATGGAGGCTCTAGACCCTTCCAGAGCTGAGATATCAAAATTCAAAATTTCGACCCGAAAAAAAAAACGACAGTGTTACCCCTTTCGTTTTTTTTCATTTTCGGGCGAAAAATTAAGTTTCTCCAATCTTCTCAAAACTCTGGATTATGATAGAGGGCTGTGAGACTTTGACCTGAGTGCAAAAATGGAGGCTCTAGACCCTTCCAGAGCTGAGATATCAAAATTCAAATTTTGACCCGAAAAAAAAACGACAGTGTTACCCCTTTCGTTTTTTTCATTTTCGGGCGAAAAATTAAGTTTCTCCAATCTTCTCAAAACTCTGGATTATGATAGAGGGCTGTGAGACTTTGACCTGAGTGCAAAAATGGAGGCTCTAGACCCTTCCAGAGCTGAGATATCAAAATTCAAAATTTCGACCCGAAAAAAAAACGACAGTGTTACCCCTTTCGTTTTTTTCGTTTTCGGGCGAAAAATTAAGTTTCTCCAATCTTCTCAAAACTCTGGATTCTGATAGAGACCCATGAGACTTTCACCTGAGTGCAAAAATGGAGGCTCTAGACCCTTCCAGAGCTGAGATATCAAAATGTAAAATTTCGACCCGAAAAAAAAACGACAGTGTTACCCCTTTCGTTTTTTTTTTTTTTCGTTTTCGGGCGAAAAATTAAGTTTCTCCAATCTTCTCAAAACTCTGGATTATGATAGAGGGCTGTGAGACTTTGACCTGAGTGCAAAAATGGAGGCTCTAGACCCTTCCAGAGCTGAGATATCAAAATTCAAAATTTCGACCAGAACAAAAAAAAAACGACAGTGTTACCCCCTACGTTTTTTTTTCATTTTCGGTTGAAAAATTACGTTTCTCCAATCTTCTCAAAACTCTGGATTATGATAGAGGGCTGTGACACTTTGACCTGAGTGCAAAAATGGAGGCTCTAGACCCTTCCAGAGCTGAGATATCAAAATTCAAAATTTCGACCCGAAAAAAAACCGACAGTGTTACCCCTTTCGTTTTTTTCATTTTCGGGCGAAAAATTAAGTTTCTCCAATCTTCTCAAAACTCTGGATTATGATAGGGGGCTGTGAGACTTTGACCTGAGTGCAAAAATGGAGGCTCTAGACCCTTCCAGAGCTGAGATATCAAAATTCAAAATTTCGACCCGAAAAAAAAAACGACAGTGTTACCCCTTTCGTTTTTTTCGTTTTCGGGCGAAAAATTAAGTTTCTCCAATCTTCTCAAAACTCTGGATTCTGATAGAGACCCATGAGACTTTCACCTGAGTGCAAAAATGGAGGCTCTAGACCCTTCCAGAGCTGAGATATCAAAATTTAAAATTTCGACCCGAAAAAAAAACGACAGTGTTACCCCTTTCGTTTTTTTTCGTTTTCGGGCAAAAAATTAAGTTTCTCCAATCTTCTCAAAACTCTGGATTCTGATAGAGGGCCATGAGACTTTCACCTGAGTGCAAAAATGGAGGATCTAGACCCTTCCAGAGCTGAGATATCAAAATTCAAAATTTAGACCCGAAAAAAAAAACGACAGTGTTACCCCTTTCGTTTTTTTCATTTTCGGGCGAAAAATTAAGTTTCTCCAATCTTCTCAAAACTCTGGATTATGATAGGGGGCTGTGAGACTTTGACCTGAGTGCAAAAATGGAGGCTCTAGACCCTTCCAGAGCTGAGATATCAAAATTCAAAATTTCGACCCGAAAAAAAAACGACAGTGTCACCCCTTTCGTTTCTTTTCGTTTTCGGGCGAAAAATTAAGTTTCTCCAATCTTCTCAAAACTCTGGATTCTGATAGAGGCCCATGAGACTTTCACCTGAGTGCAAAAATGGAGGCTCTAGACCCTTCCAGAGCTGAGATATCAAAATTTAAAATTTCGACCCGAAAAAAAAAAACGACAGTGTTACCCCTTTCGTTTTTTTTCGTTTTCGGGCAAAAAATTAAGTTTCTCCAATCTTCTCAAAACTCTGGATTCTGATAGAGGGCCATGAGACTTTCACCTGAGTGCAAAAATGGAGGATCTAGACCCTTCCAGAGCTGAGATATCAAAATTCAAAATTTCGACCCGAAAAAAAAACGACAGTGTTACCCCTTTCGTTTTTTTCATTTTCGGGCGAAAAATTAAGTTTCTCCAATCTTCTCAAAACTCTGGATTATGATAGAGGGCTGTGAGACTTTGACCTGAGTGCAAAAATGGAGGCTCTAGACCCTTCCAGAGCTGAGATATGGACATCCCATATAGCATTTATGCCATCATAAATATCTCAATATATCAGCTCTAGAAGGGTCTAGAGCCTCCATTTTTGCACTCAGGTCTAAGTTTCATGGCCCTCTATCAGAATTCCTAGTTTCAAGAAGATGTGAGAAACTCAAAATTTCGACCCTTTTTCGAAATTTCGGGCTTTTTTCGGGACGAGAAATTAAGTTCCTCCAATCTTCTCAAAACTCTGGATTCTGATAGAGGGCCATGAGACTTAGACCTTAGTGCAAAAATGGAGGCTCTAGACTCTTCCAGAGCAGAGAATAAGGTTTCAGATTCCATTGTGACTATTAGTTTGTGTAGTTCTACACTTTGTGTGTTCTCTGCTTTCCATCTTCATTTCGGAGTAAAGAAGTATGCAGGGTTTAAAGGGGAAGGTTTATATTCTCCTCTCCAACCTTTACTTACCCGTAGATTAGCTTTACCTGCCTATCCACCATTCATAGGGGCGGCAGTGGCTCAGTGGTTCATGTGGGTTGTCTACGAACCGAAAGGTTGGTGGTTCAATCCTCGGTTCCACCTGACCAAGTGTCGAGGTGTCCATGAGCAAGACACCTAACCCCAGCTGCTCCCGACGAGCTGGATGGCGCCTTGCATGGCTGACCGCCGTCGGTGTATGAAAGAGTGTAGGAATGGGTGAATGTGAGGCAAACTGTAAAGCGCTTTGGTGGCCATTAGGTCTATGAAGGCGCTATATAAATGCAGTCCATTTACCATTTACCATTAATTTGGTAAAAAAAATTTCGTTCTCTTTTAAAAATCGGATGTGGGGGGGCATACATACCTTTGCCTTTGGCCCCCAATTTGCTAAATCTACCACTGGCTATATGGGATGTCCATATCTCAGCTCTGGAAGGGTCTAGAGCCTCCATTTTTGCACTCAAGTCTAAGTCTCATGGCCATCTATCAGAATCCAGAGTTTTGAGAAGATTGGAGAAACTTATTTTCTCGCCCCGAAAAAAAAAACGAAAGGGGTACCACTTTGTTTTTTTGTTTTTTTTTTTTTTCGAAATTTTGAGTTTCTCTAATCTTCTTGAAACTCTGTATTCTGATAGAGGGCCATGAGACTTAGACCTGAGTGCAAAAATGGAGGCTCTAGACTCTTCCAGCGCTGAGATATGGACATCCCACATAGCATTTATGCCATTATAAATATCTCAATAAAAGTGCAACTTTAGCCTGCTAGCATTGAAAGCATACGATCCCACCTTCCCTGCAAATCGCAGTCCAAAGCCACGCCTCCTCCAAAGCACATGAACGTGTGCACAATAGTTGTTGATTCAAAGAAAAGTTAGATTGTTGATGTTTGCCTGCTAATCTCACTCTGTCTGCACAGCGTACATATGCATAATTAATGTGCTGATGATGAATGATGTCTGTGTGTACAGTTTGTTCTGTGGTATGCAACACATTGACTGACACGGAACACATGAGATCATTTCAGGACATAATGTGATGACTGAACAAACATTTTATGGTCCTACGCCTTCCACAGATGATATTTATTTATAAAAATAAATTTAGACCACTTAATATAGTGATTGCTATCAGGTGTGCTATAAAAACAAACGTTGACTTGACTTAATTTGATATTTTCTTCAAGTAAAGATTTGAATATTTGAAGCACATAACAACTGCACATTCAATACAATTAAGCACATTTCTTTTTCACAACGGTAGAAACCTAGAAATAGTGTCATAACAGTTCTCATAATAAAAAAAAAACTACTTTACTTACAGATACATTTGTGATTTCAACATTGTCTCTGACATTTAAATTCCACTGCACAAATGAAGTAAGAGTATTCCATTGCTCGGAACAAGTCTGATGATGTTTTGTTCTCTTCAGGGTGAACTTGGCCTTCCTAGACCGTCTGGGGCGTCAGGAGGTGAGTCGCTCAGATAGGGTGTCTGAACCCGTGACCCAAACCCCTGAAAACAGAAATGTCGGGCTGGATGATGCTGACGAACCACAGGATACAGCCTTCTCCCCTGTACCCAACCCATCATGGGTCCACACAGACAGTGCAGAGGAGGATGGTGAGTCTTAAACAAGATTTATATGCAATCCGCTATGGCACTGTGTGTGTTTAGGTCTGTTTCATTTCACAGCACTTCTGGAAATATCTCCATTGCGTCGAACTCTCGAGTCTCAAAGCCTCCACGTGTCTGTGTGTGATATTAAACAGATCTCTCACCCCTGGTGCCGGACAGCATACTCCTGACACGTGATGCTCTTAGATGTCCATGTATATACAAATGGCCATGTGTGTGCCAGTAACTTACAAATTCATTATTAGCAAGCTGGGTGTGTTTTTTGAGGCCAAATTGAGGCCTACTATAAAGTAAACTCATTCAGCCTTGGAGAAGCTTGAATCAATTTTTATGTCTGTCTGACAACAACTGATTAATGCCTGCGACTGGTGCAAAAACCTTGGTTAGCTCTTCGAGATCCAGTCTGGCAGCATTGTCGTTACTTGGAAATTTGTCATGCTGTCTTCAGACTGTAGTGTGGGTTAAAGAAATACTGTAGTTCATCCAAAAATGAAAATCAGTCGGTATTTACTCACCCTCATGTCGATGTATACCCTCAGCAAGTTATTTCAGTACATTGTCAAGCTAAGTTAAAATGTGAAATGTTGCCTTGGCAATTAGTTGAAATTTAAAAAAAAAAAAAGATAAAATATTAAATAATTAAATATTGTCGTTCATCTTCGGAACACAAATGAAGATTTCTACCCATGTAAATACTATGTACTTAATTTAGTAACTACAATTACTGGGTAATAACTAGTACTAACCCTGAACCTACCCCTGTTCCATATACTTACCTTATATTAGCCAGTACTCTCTAGGTAAGTACACTGTAAGTACTGTACTGTAAAAGGAAGCGTTACCCATAATTTTAATTTGTTCCATTGAAAAAAAATGATAATAACTGCATAAAGGTTTGCAACAGCGTAATATTGAGTTAATAATGGCATAGTTTACACTTGTCCTTTGATGGATTGATCTTTTTAAAACCATTGTTTATTCTATTCTGACAAACAGGCATGGAACTTGTATGATTCACACACATTGTTTTAGCCTCCAAAGTGGGATTTGGAAATGACAGATTGAGCCTGAATCTAGCTCCATATGTGGAGTTCTTCTCCTCTTTTTTTTTTTTTTGCCAAGAGGTGTGACTGTAACGGTCAGCTTTCCCATCTGCGCGCATAGCCTGTGGACCTCTGTGTGATGGTGTAGGACTAATCTGCCATTCACGCTGAAACAGTCTGTAAATCTTCTCAGATGCCTAATGACACATTATGTTTGTGTGTTCAGCATCACTTACGTCTGAATCACTGCAAGGACCAAAGGTTGTATCCTCAGCTGAGGTTTGGGGTCAGCCAGGTCTTGCAATTCTCAAACTCACACCTCTGTCTCTGATTACCAGAAACATTAGATGTGTTTGTCTCCGAACCAAGTCTCAGAATGACCTCTCGTCTGGCTGCGGTTCGGCTTACTCACGGTAGAGATAGGACCTGCCCTGACTTATGATGCTTCCATGAGTTCAGTTCTCAGGCTGTATATTGAATTACTAGAAGGGTTCTCTGTTTGACTACACCTTTATATCCAATTCAAACTGTATATTTAATGCAAAAATAATTTTTTTTCTCAGCATTTGTCTTATTTTCCCGTACAAATATATAAACACAATACATTTACATTACCTGTGTTTGAAGGGGTTGTAATCACACATTACAATGATCCACTAGTCAGGTTTTGCAATTACCTCTGAAGGCCAGTATTCCTATTTCCAGTGGTGGAGGAAATACTGAATCTCAGTACTTAAGTAAAAGTACAAATACCCAGATAAATATTTACTTTAGTAAAAGTAGAAGTAACACAATGACAACCATACTTAAGTAAAAAGTACCTGATTTTAAATGTACTTTAAGTAATAAAAGTAAAAGTACTTGCGTAACAATTTATTATCTTAATGTCTATTTTCTAATGATTAATAAAACATTTAATTCTAACTCATTCAACCTAATAGCCTAGTCCTATAATGATGTTCAATAATGGCACCATTTCTGAAACAAGCTTGCAATTAGGCAATATACACATCATGCTTATGATCCTTACTATATGTTAATAACTATGTTTGGCAGTAAACAAGATTAATTTATGGTGTAATTCTGAACCTCTTGGCTTGCCATAATCCTAACCAAACCAAACATATATATATACACACGGTGTGTTTCCTATGCACGTAAAAACAAATTTTCGCTTATGAGTTGCACGATAAACACACTGCGTGTGAGACGCATTTAGTGTGACCGGGTTGATATACTGTATCTATGGCAACCAATTGTCACTGGTGAGACAAACGTGCAACGAACGGACAGTCAGATTACGTTTTGGCAGGGGAAAAACTGATCAGAAAATGTAACGAAAATGTAACAGAAGTTGTAGAAATGTAGTGGAGTAGAAAGTATAATAATTGCTGCAAAATGTAACGAATCAAAAGTAAAAAGTAGGCACTATTTATTGTACTTAAGTAAAGTAAAGATACGTGAAAAATGTACTTAAGTAAAGTAACGAAGTATTTGTACTTCGTTACATTCCACCACTGCCTATTTCTATGTGAAGTCTCTGGGTCGGATTTTTTGTGAAATCCATTGGATGTGACATGCATGCGCGCTCCCGAGCCTCTCTCCTTTAAATGCAGTCTATGCAACTGCAGCCAACGAAATGAGTCTGATAATGCGAAACACACACTCCACATAAATATAAAACACAAAACAAAATGTATCTGCTGAAGCTCGTCAGGCCAAACGTGAATCGGATCGCGTCAACGAAAACACGGATCAACATCGGCAGAGCGTTGGAATTATGGAGACCTTCGCTATTTTTATTGTGATAAATTACAAGTTTTCAGATATGCTGAAATCATGGTAAACTGTAATGAAATAGCAAGGTAAACTACAACATACATGAGACATGAAATGAACACAAAAGACTGTTCCAGGATAACAAGGTGCATTAAGGAAGGATGTAACTTTTATTTTATGTACTACTAGATCTACTGTCTATCGTCACTCATCCCACTACTATCATATTGTTTATAATACACATTTCCAGACACGTTCAGTACAGTAATGTTACTTCCTACGATCTTACTGTTACACTGAAATTGTTCGGTCTAACCGTTTTCATTATCATATTATGCATTCACCTATGTTGACATTGCTGATTGTGAAAGATACGCGAATGGTTAGTGAAATACCTTATGCTAATAACACCACAAATGTAACGTTATCATGGTACAAGCATGGAGCATTAGTTCAGTCAAGCTGATAAAAGTAACGTTGCAGTGGGAGTTTACCAAAGACTGTAAAAAATATGGACAAAGCGTCTGCGTCGTCACCCATAGACTTTCTGAAGATGGGGGGTATGGGCGGCGCCATATTAGAAAATCTTGAGAAATACAAAATACAAATGTTCAGAAAGGATACAGAGGTGGTATGATGTGTTGTCAGATCATGGCCGAGACGTCAAATTCGACTCGGTGTAGCCTGTTATCAGCCGTCAATCAAAGTTAACCACCCTTATTTGTCATACATTTTATATCTAAATACGATCTAAACTAAGGAGTTAGAAAAAAATTCACCCCCCTCACAGTTGTCAGGCACTCGGAACCTATAGAAAAACACAATAAAAGAACATGGGCCCAAACTGTAAACATATGAATTAATGCTGTGAAAATGAATATTTTAATATGAGGTATATGGATATTGGCTCCCTTTTGGGACCGGCCTCTAGCGGATTTTCGATGTATTGCAGTTTTTCGCACTTCCGGGTAGGCTTCATTTTTCAGATTAGAATGTTGCCGCTTGGAGTTTACATGAGTTTCCAGCATGTTGTGTAAAGTCTGAGTGTGGCCGTTTACCACGAGTGATCGCTCGTATCCGAGCACGCGCGCTCTTGTAAAAATTGGTTGCAATCTGAAACATCACCGATAGAGGCCGCTAAAAAATACATACAGCACCTTTAAATAATGGCGCAAAAAACAGTAAATTGACCAGCGCAAAACTTAAATCCCGTTGCGTGATTCATTTAAAAACTCTCCTCCTCCCATGCAAATAAATAAAATAAAATAAAAATAACTGTTTCCAAGCCTTTTCAGCACTATTTTTTTACTGCGTGTCTTTAGTAAATCCTGGCAGTCGAAAAGAGTGTTTGTTATTAAATCTAATTTTTGCTTCTCAAGTAAATGTATCGTGATTTAAGAATGTTCATATATTTCTATTGGAATAGACAAAGGAAAATCATTTTAGCTGTGTTTTTAAAGGTGAAGTGATATTCCTGCACAACTAACATCACTGAATTTAACTGCAAAAAGAATGACTTCAATTTTCCAAACAACTCCACCCATAAATAACCTGCGAATGGATTACTTACAGTTGACTCTTCATATTAAACTCGGATAAAAAAAATACACATTTCACCTTCAATTATATTCTTGTATGTCAACTGGTAAAGCAAAGCATAAGCAAGGTCATTTGGTAAGCATCTGCATTAAAACCTGTAAGCATCTGCATTGAACGCCACTTATTCTGTCAGTTTCAATTATTGCCATGAGCATTCTACTATCCTTTCAGAGTTTTCCCATTTTAATAGATTTTCTGTTGCATTATCTGGGGCCTGTGTGTCCAATGGCGGCGTTCCTATCTATCCAGCATTCCTGGGATCTGTGTGTATGGGACATCTGTCTGCCATAGTGCTAGTTTTGTCCATTAGTGTGTGGTTTAGTGTGGGATCAAGATGCCGTTGTTTGCGGAGCAGGCTGGCAGAAGCCCTGCGGTGGAGACGAGTTCTCCCACCCTGTCTGTCCTGCTCCATGAACCAGATGAACCAGCAGGGAGGTCAATCTTGCGCTGCGAGAGATGTGTGCCTGTGAGACTCGGGATCTGATGTCTCTAGGAACAAGTGACCATGTTTGCTCATAATATTTTGATTGCCTCGCACTTGTTCTTAAGGCATGGTGTGCATGGAAATGCCAACCTAGAGTGATAGTGATTTAGCTTTAGTGCTATAAAGATATGGGCTAAACTACTACATTCACTGTCTGTTTGTTGTTTTTCTTGTAGATCGTGACCATATGTGGACCCTGATGAAACTTCAGAATGACTTTCCATACTACGAGCGAGAAATGCTGGAAGACATCGTCAAACAGTGTAATGGCAATTACAATCACGCATATGAGCTGCTAAATGTTTAAAAAAAATATATGTATACACGTTTTGTTGTTGTGATGCTGAATGATAGCTGAAAATTCTGCCGTTATTTACTCGCTCATTTGTGAGTAAATTATGATTTTTGTGTGAACTGTCCATTTAATTATTGAATGCGGTGAGCTTAAGCAAAACATTCTAGTGTCCTTTGAACTGAAACAAAAACGTATTTTTTAGGTTGTGCAGTTATTTTTGTTCTGACACAAAATGGATTGACACAACCACAGAGAAAAGAAATCAAAACAATAAATCAAGATTTGAGTCTGCTGTGGGAACGTTTATGGGTCCCATGAGTACTATTCACAGACTAAATGATGTAAATGATGTGCATTCACAAAATCCAGAGGCTGATTTATAATGAGGTAAAGGACTAGAGGAATTCTGAACTCATCCACAATAGGGAAGGACAGTGAAAAACCAAACCATCATACAGATCATTAGCTTCCTAAATGCTATATAGGCTCCTGCTAGAACTCTGTATGAATTTAAAAAGGCTGCCTCTGTTTGTGTGAAATAGTGCACAACATTCAGGTAATTCTGTAAATATTCCATTTATTTCCTACATAGAGGAATTGATTTACCGGTACTTATGAGCCTTTAAAGGCAAACTTGAGATACAAGGTTGTTAATGAATGGTATATTCTTTTGTTGAAGCAATCAGTCCACATTATTTCAATGTATTTTTTTTTTTGTAATTCCTGGTGAAAAACTACATCACTCATGATTTTGAAGTTATTCGTAAGGGTTGTAGTGATTTCCCTGTTATATACAGTCTTTTTTGGAGACAACAAAGCTTATAATGTTATTTACCTCGTAGCTGGTTGGTTTGGTTCATGGTTTATACATTTTTAATGAAGACTTTTTTTCTAAATGCACAAATGAGAAAAATACTTAGAGAACCAAAGCCATCGAAACATTACTTTCAACATATTTAATCATGAAGTAATGGTAAGGACATCTTATGGGTGTCTTTTCCTGCTTAAATTATTGATTTTAAATGTTATGTGAGATAAATATAATGTGTTTAATTGTTAGTAAATTATGTTTGTGACATGTACTCCAACAGTTGAGTCCCATTTCATGACCCCCCCCCCCCTCTCTCTCCCGCTTCACCTCCTGTCAGTTTCTATTCAATAAAGGCACAAAAAATATTTTATTTGTGTCATCTTTGTGTCATAATTTTATCAATTTTAATGTTTTAGAGTGAAGTGATATATTTCACAATTCATTCATTTATTAATAAAAGGTGTGCTATAATCAGAAAGGCTACAGGGTTGACCGTTTTACTGTTGAATCTATGTATTTTGTGTACATAGTTGCTAACATACAGTAGCAAAAAGTTGAAAAAAGAGTGGTAACAGATTCAAAAAGTGTCCACATGAAGAATGTGATGTGACATGTAACCAATGGTGTCCCATACTCGGAATCTGTGCTCCCACCTACATATCCTGCCAATTCTGAGACTCGAACCCACGACCTTCGGTAAACTACAAGTAAACTAACACACAATAAAAGTCAGCTGAATTTTGTCAGGGAGTTCAGATTCAAATGTGGCCAAAATTTAGCTCAACATCTGCTTTTACATCCCTTGGCAAAGTTTTCTTGATCTTCAAAAGGTATTTTCCCCTGCTCACTGAACGAAATAATGCGGTAAATTCTGTGTGATTAGCAATAACGTAGCTACCTTGTGTTTAGGTTGAACCACGATCTGTCGTGTTCCTGCCCTGGAACGGTTTCTCATGTAAATGTGTTCACTGCATTTAACATGCCGTTTCCTGTGACAGCTTCCCTGTCTTTTGATGAGCGCTTTTTTTGGGGGGCGAGTGTGTTTTCCTGTGTGTGGGGTGGAGAGGTAGTTGTGGAAAGATCGGTTCCCAAGGTAACCCAAACTCAAAGGAAACTTTGTTGTTTTCTGACACACGATACAAAGAGACGTTTCCGAGAGGTGTTGTTCTGGGTCAATGAAACTAAGAGGGATCATACTACACTGTCATATCACACAACTCTGATAACCCACAAATCAGAACTTCTAGGTCTGCAAGACCCTGATTACCTCAGCAGCATTCTGGGGGATTTCCTGTGGGTGTTTCCCCATCAGAATTAGGTCAAAGCATTACCCATATTACCCAAGAATTCTGGGGGAAAAATAATAAAAATCTACAGACAGCAATAAACCACAGCATACACCCAGCAGATCTGGGGTCCATTATCCATTGGTGTCGAAAAGACAAATATATGGATTCTCTATGAAATTAGCCCTTTTGTTTTTCTCTTTGACCATTTTCCAAGCATTGTGAGATTTCAGTTCAAGACTCATGTGATTCCCCTTTCACACTTTTATTATTCCAAGGTATTGTCTGAGAGAAAAAGTCATGAAATGCAGCCTGGCTGTATAGAAAAATAAAACAGGCGAGATCGCACAGGCTTGAATGGATTGCGCCTGCAAAACATAGAATTGTGTCGCTAGGGGCCATGTCAGTATTCTTGTACATACAGGGTGAAACATTTGCTTATGTGCTAACTGAAATATTAGCCATCTCATCTGTCAGAATGGGAAGAGGAGGATACTTCGGATATATAAGAGGACCTCAAAGTGAACCAGGAAAACATGCCACTCACAGGGCTGTAACATGTAGAGATCTCCACAGTCAACCACAACTGAGTCACAGTGCTTTCAGGAGAAAATGGGCTCCACGAGACAGGCACGCCTTGGCTGCTGGCTGACAGCGCCAACAATCCTCGCTCGATGTCACGCGCGAAGGCACAAACAAATAAACTAGTTACAGCATAAACATATTTACTTTCACTACAGCTCCACAGAGAATTAGGCGCCTTTGAAATAGTTGCTCCAACGTGCATGATTAAGCATTGGGAAATGAATTCTTTCTTAATGAGTGATGGTTTGATAAGTTTGTAGTACAAAGTAATATGTAGTTGACAATTAGACAGGCTGCTTTTATGCTGAAGTGATTTATTATAGAGATGTAAATCATATATGGAGCAGTTTGTGGTTTACCTCCATTTTCCCCCCAAAAGTAATTCTTCTGAGCGCGGGAATACTCCCTAAAATAAAACAGCTCTAACCAGCCTAGTTGGTGGCAGGGTTGACAGTTTGATGGCCTAACTTGACAGTATGCAAATTATGCTCAAGTTCATGAATGAGAATGAATTCAATGTTGACATTTCTACAAATATCCACTTCTCAATAATCAATAGTTTACTAAATTAAATCATGGTAACAAAATTGGCATTTGAAATAGACAGCCCTATAAACCCTACAGCCCTACATTTTTTATAAACGACTTAAACTAGCCTAAAATTTAACACGGTTGCAGCAAGGATGAAAAAAAGGGATCTGGATCTAGATGCAGCAGTGTTTATTTATAACAAAATCCAAATAATACAAACACTCAAGCTTATCAGCTGTTAGATTTTGGTGTTTTTGGCCGAACAGTGGTTTGGGTGGCTCGCCAATGTATTAGATTTCTCCAATACATAAAATAAGTAAGCTTGACGAGTTCTTGTGGGGAGAAGAATTTATTGAAGGTTTGTAGTGTAGCAGTCCTTCAGCACAGTGTTAGCATGTCACCCTTCAACAATCTTAACCCAAAGTTCTGTCTTTGAGACTGTCATATGAAGACCTATCCTATGGGCTACAAACAATAGAAACCCGCCAGGACCTCCCACAGGAGATCGATCTAACTTACTAATCCACTCTGAGCAATGCTGATTCTTTTTATTCATTCACACCAATCAGTCTCTATGGGCCATACATCTGAAAGGGCCATTCATCTTCATGGGCAATTTGGCACACACATTTACAGGTGTGTACAGCTGGACTTGTGAGGCACACTTGAGAGGAAGGGATAGGGATTGGCTCACATACCCTTATTAACAGACTCAGGGGGCTTTCACACTGGCAGTTTAGTTCGGAACAGGGCACGGTTCACATGAAAAATCGCTAATGTGAACGTTGTCATAGGACCCGAGACTACCTGGAAGAGGGGGGTCTGAGTTTGGTTGTAAGGGATGATAGTGTTGATGATTTACTTTGGATACGAGCAAGAGTGAGCCTGCAGTGTATTTGTGCATTGCGCGTGGAATCAGAGCAACACATTCGGAAATCCACGGTCTCCTCAAAAGAGTCCGTTTGCAAGCAGCAGAAGTCCACCTTATGTGACACACGCACAGTAAACCTGTATTGTTCACTCAACTGCGCATAATAGAAGCAAATCTATTAATCTGTCGGGAACAAACACGCAAATCTAATATCTTTCGGGAACAAACACGCTCGGACCGCAACAAACTAGCCCAGAGTAAAAGCCCTATAAGGCACCGGGATGACTGTGACCTCATGGGTTAGCTGTGTGAAGGAAATGGGGGCTTGCTCACACACCTGTTCAGATTTGGTTCTTCTGGCCGCTGGGTCTGCCGCTGGCAATAAAATCTTCTTCGGCTGTGATGTTTGCGGTGGGATGGATATTGTCCTCCGTTGGGGTGCAGAGTGCATACATGGACTGTGGGACCTTGGTGAAGGGGGATCTGCACTGAAGAAGTACCCTGTCCACGTACTCAATGAATGTTGCTCGAGGTCCATCTTCAGACCGGCAGGTTTTCATCATCACTTTGAGTCCTGCCGGAAAAAACACACACAGTCTGGCGTCATCATAATCAACAAAATGGCCAGCCCGTTCTCATCGAAAGGCGTCATATAGTGACGCTTTTGACAATGCATATACATCCAATGCACATGGCACCTTTTAGCATCAATATGAGACGCAGATATATATGGGCTAGAAGGCACCTCTTAGTGGCCTAACCCTACCCCAGACCTAAACCTACCCATAACCAAACCGTGTTATATTGAAACTAAAGGGTTCCATGTGCGTCGGATTAGTCAAAAGCGTCACTATATGACGCCCTAAGATTAGAATGCGTTGAAATGGCGCAGACCTAAGTCCTATTTACAAGTAATCCAACATTTTCTCTAAAACAAATCCAATCATCACCAGCACACATGGCTCTTAGGTTAGACTAGACTGCAAAAGATTCATTCATTCTATCCTTCCCAGCCCAGGAAACGAAGAACACATGTCCAGGCCGCATTCAAAAGAACTTTGTAATTGCGACAGCCCTCCTTGTGTAGGGCGCAGTGACACATTCAGCCTACAAAGGATGCGGCCTCTGAAATGGTACTCAGCTTATAGACTATATAGATCTGACTATGTGTGACTATAGTTTGAATTATTCCCTTTTCTTTGACATTACAGTACATAAAGGCTCTTTCGGCATTATGCTGAACGTTGTATAAGCATTAGTTTCATGTGAGGAAGACAGGCTCTCGGTAGCACGTATAAACGTCACATCCTAAACGTCCCAAGTCCTTCACATACAAATAAGTTTAAAGTTTAAACCAGCCTATGATGGTTTTATGTCTTCACAAGTACCCAAATACCTTATAAAACCAAGATGTATAGC